ATTTTCCTATAAAAGCCGTATGTTAACCCTTGACTAATCTTGCAATGCCATATTTTTGATTATCAGAATTAAGTCTTGTCCACTTATTCTTAAAGGATTAGTTTACTTTTGAATGTCATCATGTCATCCAAGATGTCCATGTCTTTCTTTCTTCAGTCGAAAAGAAATGAAGGTTTTTGATGAAAACATTCCAGGATTTTTCTCCATATAATGGACTTCAATGGGGTCCAAACGGTTCAAGGTCCAAAAGAGAGTTTCAGATGCAGCTTCAAATGTCTTTAAACGACACCAGACGATGAATAAGGGTCTTATCATGCGAAACGAGCGCTTATTTCAAAACTGTAACTTTTCTAAGGACAAATGCTAGCCTTGCTCTATTCTGTGAGGCGCGTTTGTAACGTCACGTAATACGTAATTACGTTCAAAAGGTCACGGGCGACGTAGCCGGAAGTACAGAGTCAGTGTTTACAAGTTGAACGCATAGGTTGAACGTGCAAACTAACTCAAACGCCGTTTACAAAAAAAGGAATTAAAAGGTAAAACAACGATGTCGGACGATTTTGATTCTGTACGTCCGGCTACGTCGCCCGTGACCTTTTGAACGTAATTACGTATTACGTGACGTTACAAACGCGCCTCACAGAATAGAGCAAGGCTAGCATTTGTCCTTAGAAAAGTTACAGTTTTGAAATAATCGCTCGTTTCGCATGATAAGACCCTTATTCATCGTCTGGTGTCGTTTAAAGACATTTGAAGCTGCACTGAAACTCTCATTTGGACCTTGAACCGTTTGGTTCCCATTGAAGTCCATTATATGGAGAAAATCCTGGAATGTTTTCATCAAAAAACTCAATTTCTTTTCAACTGAGTAAAGCCAGACATCTTGATGACACGGGGGGTGAGTAAATCATCAGCAAAAGTTTTTTCAAAAGTGAACTATTCCTTTAAGAAGTGACAGAGATAGGCTACATAAAGCCCTTTTCACACACAGACTCCGGGAGGTATATGGATAATGTGTCCCGGGATCGTTTGATTCACACTGCCAGTGATTTTAAGAAATTTGTGAGAACCCGTAAAGACACGTGTAAGAATCATAAACTTAAGTTGGTCACAGAGCTACTGTATATAGAGCAAAAATCAATGGGTTTGTGTCCAGTTTGGGAACCAGCGTGACTATAACTTCTGGATTATCCCACAGAGATTGTCTTCATTGCAGAAGTCTAACCTGAAGACATTTCAGAACATTTCACAAATATCCACTCTCATATCTCTATAGTGTCAGTATGACAGTGACTTAAAAGGTGCCTTCTGGGTCATTATTCAAATGACCATCTATTTTAATAAGGCTTGCACTAATGACAGTGAACAGCCTATCATTATCTCTTCATTCCCCCACATTCACCTGGATATCAATTATCCTGACAAGACTTCTGATGTCGGTCCAGTCCTGCTGTCTTCCTCTCGCTCAAATCCCGGCCAGAAATAGCCACAGTAGCTCATCGGCACAATCACATTTATAATGTTTCCTTCATGGTTTTACAGGGAAAAAGAGCTCGGATTGTTTGCCTGCGAAGTGTAGATTTTGTATAGGCACACAGTGCGTTTTATAAGAAACCACATCACGTTTTACTTCTTCAGAATTGAATGACTTCAGAGACTCTGCGATAGGGATGGGATGATGGGAGTATATCTTATAGACCTCTGAATGAACCAAATCCACATAAAGCCCACAATTCCATCATTATCTGCTCATTATTGTACTGCTGTTGCCCAGGGCCATGAGGGAGAGCAAATAGAGGAACTTAAATGCTTCAAAATGGAGTCGAGTGAACCAAAATGAAGCCTGTGCAGAAGCTCTACACCGTTCACTTGATGATCAGTGACGTATGAGAACTAATAGCGTTTTGTGTCAGAGATGGCAAATCTGATGCAATGCATTTTAAAAGCTGAACACAAGCTCAGATGGGGTTTTTGAGCTCCATCAGAGGAGAAAACAATCGCTGAATGACCCATTCTTCATATAAAACTGTCTTAGGCACTATATTTCAGGCCATCGTGAGATGAACTACTGTTATGCTCTTCTTGGAGCTTGGCAATATAAATCACCATCCACTTTTGTTGTATGAAAAGAAACAAACAGCTCGAACACAAATCTCTTGGTTTCACTGAAGGAAGAAAATGATCCAGTGGTGAAACCGAGACATTGGGTTGAGTAATGATGGCAGAATATTAGGCAACACAATAAGGTTAGCTACATGAACAATGAAAACAAAATATTTGTAAAACATTTATTAATCTTAGAGTGTAACTTTGCCGATTTTCAAACCGCTTTATATTGTTACAAAGTCCGTAGTAAATAGATGAAAATCAATAAATGTTTACACTCTGTGTCGCCTGGACCGTGAAATTTAAGTTTATTTATCAGAAAAGGTTAATCTGGCAGACATTTACCAGCTCCAAATATATATTTGTTATTATTTTCTTTTGTCAAATCAACTTTATAATAATTTATTTAGTTGAGATAACTTATTATTTTGAGTTTCTTCAGTTTCATTGTATTAACTCACTTTTTCCAGTTCAATCAACTTAAATTTTTAAGGCAACCAGGTTACTTACTTTTTTAAGTTAAACCAACAATATTTTTTTACAGTGCAAGTGAATGGCGTCATGTTAAAAGGGTGGAAAACACAAAAAATGTCCACAGAAACTTTGACTTTGCTTGCAAAATAAATGACTTAATATTTCCTCCCTATCATTTAAAGATGCCAAGTCATAATTACCGTAACACTTCATGTGCTTGTAGAACTTTTAATTACAACGTAAATTCACTAGGATTTAAGCATGCTAACTCACTGAAAATCAACAGTTAATGAAAGCATTACTTTTAAATATTGTTTTCTTTCCACGAATTAGAGAAAGTCTTGTTGACTCGAAATCAATAAACTCAAAGTGTCAGAATAAATCTTTGTCAAATATTATACGGGAGTATCTGAGATCACATCATGACTCCCAAAGGTAAAGCTTTTCTCATTCTGTCATTAAAGCGTATTAACTCGTCCTCTTATTCCAATAATATATTCAATCCATTCCTCTAATCAACACACTACAAAGCAGCTCGGAGAGTGCTAGAAAAGAGCGACGCAACAAGCCGATAGGCTTATTACACCTTGACATCAAAGACAGCATTGCTTCCCCACATCAACACAAATGAGCATCTCAATCTCGTCAGGAAACAAGAGCAAAATTGGCCCATGTTAATGTGCCATTTAAATGCAAAGAGCAATTTCTGCAGTGCTAGCCAAGATGGTTTGTGCACCCGATCTTCAAAGGCGGCATGTCAAAGTGTCCGAGGTGGGCTGACGTTCGTGCAGCAGGGGGCAGTGGGAAGATCAGGGCACCAGCCGTCTGTCTCAAGGGGAAAAACCTCAAGACCCGACACCGACGCATTTCTCTTATTGATCCAAAACATGTCTAGTTTTAATGATCTAGCATTTGGGGGGGTAAACAAACAGGTGCTTTATGAGCATCGTTCCACACAGCCCTTTCGAGGGAGCTAAAAGTGCTCTGTACTTGGATTAAAACAAGACATAATTAATTGGTGCAACTTTTAAGGGAAAATGTGTTTTGATTTGAAGAGAGTGAAAACTTGAAATGCAAAAGATAAGAGACATCAGTATTCCACAGAGCGTCTCTGTTCAGTCAGACCTGCATTACACTCGCTCTCTGTTTCTCACTTCCACTTCATTGACATGCTCAACATACCCCAGTGTGGATCAATAATATTGAGCAAATAGCACCCAATAAACTAAGCTGTTGTCTCAATTGGAGTGTCTTTAGCAGCTTTGATGGAATTTAACCCTCCGGATAAGAGCAGTATCGGACGGCCACTCAAAGAAATGTCGACCCAAAGTGTCTTCGAGCTTCTTATGTCCAGTTCACAACATCACGTGCACCAGCCGTGTGGATATTTTAGATCACAACATCAGTACTATTAGATCACAGTATCACAGTTATTTTGTTTTTATCAAATGGTTTACAATAATAATCATGTGGTGATTTCCACAGTTAATTAATTAAGCCAATTGAATATTTTACAAATTAAATGTTAATTTGTTTTGTTCATAACTAATCAAGTCTAGCATCATTTTTGGCTAAACTACTTTAAATCTCACATCATGTTGAGTGTATTGATGAAAACAAACATTACAAAAGGCAGCACACCGTCTCAATACGCATACAGGAGCATCCATATTCTAACATTAAATTAGACTTGATAACTCTTATCAGAGCAGGAAAAAGCCCCGCGTGTTTAGTATCGCTCTCAACTCTAAGCAGGTTAATACACAACTCTTACCTGAACAGCGATTAAAAGCACATGTGTAATAATTGGAAGGACACCGTGTGCTTTTAACAGTGCCATTCACACTCCATGCTTGTGGTCAGAATAAAAACAGGTATTTTGTATTTTTGTAAGGAACATATTACTCTCTTCCTGCAAATTACAATGAGAAGTTTGAAGAACAAAGACTCTTAACTTTGTTCCAAAACCAAAGATACTCGAGGACTACAATCGCTTCGATGGTTAGACAACACTGAAACTCATAAGTGACTGTTTTAAAATACCTCAATTTATTCTTCTAATTATTATTAAATGGAGTGTAGAGTTAACATGTTGCTAAGCTAAAAACAGTACTTACATGGGACTTCACATTCGCTCACAAAACATTTGCATTTCTTACAAAACTATCGTGTTCCTCCAAGAAACTTTACATTCGCAAATCCAGCAAACCGGGAACATGCTCAGAACTTTGGCTAACATTCTGCTTTTATTAAACATTTTAGTTGAACATTTTTCTCTTTATTTTTATTGAGCGTGTCACAATGCATTCTGGGATTGCTTTATCCATCAAGGATACATGCATTGCTTTCTTAGGTTTTATAGACCATTTCACATACGTTTATTAAAGCGTTTATTAAAACACACACACAACGCAACTCACCTCGTATAAGGTCAGAGGTCACGTGCGGCCAGCTATAGGTCCGTACAAGCTGCCAATCAAAATCATCTTCCTGCGCCTGTCTGTATTCACAGAGGCCGGGGTCGGAGTCTTCCTCAAACGTGCAGCCGGCTGGAAAGACAAACAACACATTTTTAGAAGAAGACCAATTTACACTGCGCTTTGCATTGGTGAGTCAGTATAACTGATCTTGTGAAATATTCTGAAAACTCATACATTAATTCCTGCTTGGGAAAGTGCAACAGAAGTCATTCTCTACTCGAAGCTGAACGTCACACTTAAACGAGGTTTCACATGTGTATGGCAACACACAGTTAATGATTTCAAAGGCAAAAAAAGGATTTCAATAAAGAGCTCTTGAAGGTACAGTAGCAAACACACACTGCAGTTGCAAGAGTCTGCTGTTTTTACAGAAACATCATAAGAAGACTTACTTTAAAAAGAGGCAATTATGACTTCTTTAAACAACAAATAACCAAAAGCTCCACATTTTTGATCACACTCGGAAAAAGTTTTTTATGAGAGCAGTGGGATGATCGTTGCTTGAGGCAGATGATGCAGTTCTGTAAATAACTTTTTTTGTGAGTTTGCTAGCTTTGTAGTGGAACCTCAGGGCTGTTGCGTTCGAGTAATTAAATATTCCACACATAACTAGGGTTCGCTTTGCAGCTGTAATCTTTCAGGGGTCTTGTTTCTTTCACTGAGAAGAAAGACTTTGTTTAGACAGGCACAAAAAAATCTGTTTTTTTGGCCTATCTGACTCTAATTGGTTTAGGTATATAATAATAATATATATATATATATATAACGATACAAAGCTTAATGCAAATAGGTGAAGTGTTCCTTTAAGGCAGATGAGCAGGGTCACTGAAATGAACATTAGTGGCAGTAAAACACCAACGGCTTTTATTTATTTTCTCACAGTTCCTTGCCCAATATGACTTCAATGCACTAACCATACTGCATGATTTGTAAAGTAATGCATTTTGACATTTGCACATAACACATCACATAACCAGCTACACATTTTTTTTTCTGACATTTCTGCTACCAAAAAAAACCTCAAAAGAGTTGTAGCACCAACTTTACTTTATTTTCAAAGACGATTGAGCATTAACCACCATTCGCCAGACATTTAATATGAAAATTGTGAATCTCATTGCCAAATTTGCATTCACCTGTTACAGATAAAACTGAATGTGATTTTAAAACGTTTTCTAATTGGTCTGGTTTGTAATTTTTGTTTAGTCAGTCAGACTTGATTTCAATAGCTTTCTTTTGTCATTCAAATTTTGATGTGACCGTAATATCATATAAAAGTAAACAAACATACAAAAATGCACTCATTAATGCTCTAATGAGGGATTTAAAGTCCTCCAGTGGTGAAAATCAAGCTTTTAATGTTGTGTTTGTAATATGACCTTGTGCAAACTTCTATCGCTGAGTCTCGAAATCGCTGGTGTTTCTGACGTCACAAACTATCATGTCAACGAGTGTATCTGAGCGGGTGGAGGCGGGGCTAATTTGAATATTCATAGACCCCATCTACTAAATGAGGCAAGGGTGTAGAGTTACATGCAAGATATTTTAAGGCATGAATAAAAACAATTGCTTAAATATGTCATTTTAGATCAAAGATGAGTTTTAAGGGATAAAATGATGGACTAAAGGGGAACTTTAACAGTGAATGGGTTATTGTAGCGGTTTTGAGGAAAATAGGTTTTGTTATTATTGGACATTGACAACACCGTCTGAAGGAATGGATCGTTTGGGTTTTATTACTTGTACAATAACAATGCAGACAGTCAGCCCTGAAAATTGGATTTGGAAAACCAATTGGAATTGTGTGTGGTGTGAAGAAAGGCTAATCGCTCGCACTAAAACTAATGGTGCAAACCAAAAGACGCTCTCGCCTGTGAATGTGGTGATGTGGAATTATCTCCGGCAAGAATGATTGAGAAACACACCTGAACTCAGACTTCAGCTAAAAGCTTTTCTGTGCTTTTTGTTTCCCTTAATTGCATGTAATAACTGTGGTTGTGTTGTGTGTAAGTGGAGGTGTGTGTTTCGGCTCAGTTAGCTCCAAGCTTGGAGGACGGTGAGGTAAAGACGGGCCATCACCCGCCAAACATCAACATCACGATAGAGACACTGAGACGAAACACGAACGTCACGTAATAGACTCATCGCCAGAGAGAGGTGGCCGTCTGTTGGAAAACATGCTCTCAACGGAGTCTAATAATACTCCATCTAGAGTAGCATCTAAAAACAGAACAACAGCTCTCATGGAAATTACAGCCAGACCCATGAAATTGGGCCCACACACATCTCAAGAGACTCGTGCACTCTCAGCACCCTTGATTCATCAAATACACTCTCAGGAAAACACAATCAGATGCACACAGTGGTGGAATGTAACGAAGTACAAATACTTAGTTACTTTACTTAAGTACATTTTTCACATATTTTTACTTAAGTAGAATAAATAGTGCATACTTTTTACTTTTACTTCGTTACATTTTGCAGCAATCCACTACATTTCTACAACTTCTGTTACATTTTCATTACATTTTCTGATCAGTTTTTCCCTGCCAAACCGTAATCTGACCGTCCGTCCGTTGCACGTTTGTCTCTCCAGTGACGTTTGGTTGCCATAGATACATCAACTAAATGCGTCTCGCACGCAGTGCGTTTATCGTGCAATTTATACGCGAAAATTAGTTTTTACGTGCATAGGAAACGCACCGTGTGTAATATACGTTTGGTTAGGATTATGCCAAGCTAAGAGGTTCAGAATTACACCATAAATTAATCGCGTTTACTGCCAAACATAGTTATTAACATATAGTAAGGATAAGCATGGTTTATATTGCCTAATTGCAAGCTTGTTTCAGAAATTAGGGTTAGTTCAGATTTTTTTTTTTCCATCATTATAGGAGTATTAGGTTGAATGAGTTAGAAATAAATGTTTATTAATCATTAGAAAATAATCATTAAGAGAATCAATTGTTATTCAAGTACTTTTACTTTTAATACTTAAAGCACTTTTTTTTTTTACTTTTTACTTAAGTATGGTCGTCATTGTGTTAGTTCTACTTTTATTAAAGTAAATATTTATCTGGTTATTTCAGTACTTCCTCCACCACTGGATGCACGCATTCATTCAACAGCCTCGAAGTATAAATAACAATGTGGGTTCTTGACTATTTTAAATAGATCATTTTTAAAGAACCATTTATGTCAGAAAGGTAAATAAAGGTGACATACAGTATTACGCCGCTTTTCACTAGATTTAGGGGACACCATATATCTATGTGAAATTTCAGCTCCACATTCCCCCCAGATCATTTATTATATCTTGTCAAATTTGCCCATTTTGGGTGTGAGCGAAAACGGTCTGTTTTTGTGTCTCTTTAAACAAAAGTGAGCTTCGTTTTTTAACATGAGCTTCAGATACTCCGTCAATAACAAAACGTGAGTTTCAGTCAGATTTCATGAACGGGAGAGCTGCCTTACGGAGACACTTTTACACACACCTGTGCGTTTCTGAATGGTTAGAGGAGACATTTATGAAGTTGCGTTGATTCTGATAACTTTTCCACAGGTTGACACAGTTCCTGAGGTTTTTATAGGACAGCTGTGACATTTATTGGTCATCTAGTGTTCGTCCAACGACTGAACTGTCTGCATGCTTTGATTGAACTCTTGTCATCGAGTTAGAACCGGTTATACGAGGTTGTTGGTCTCGAAAACCAAACAGCAGCGCCGTGGGTGAAAGCATGCAGATTAAGGGCCGATAATACTAAAATAAGATCCCCTTCCTACGTCAGAACGGGACTGAAATCTGATTGGCTTTTTTTAACATGCTTGCAGAGAAATGCTTACCAAAAAAGGACTGGGTTGACACTTTTCATGTTTTTTGGGTTGGTAGATGAACTGGGGACCCGAATATAGCATTTAAACAAGTAAAAAGTCAGATTTCCGTGATATTTTTCATTATCAATGGGTTATTTAATTTTTTTTTCTAGTGATAAAGTATGTTTACGAGTCTACGAGTCTATTCTATATATACTGCATCTGTGTTTAGACGAACATGACAGTTTGTATAAGTTTAGCTCTCTGAAATCAACCGTAATTATATTCGAGTCACTCCAGGATTAAACGCTGTTCCTCTGAAGAGCAGCTCTCCAGAAAATATTCCAGTTGCTTTTTAGTTGTCAAAATTAAATCGCAAAGACGAGCTTATATCACATTATAATCCTCAGCTGTCATCTCCAGTCATTTAAGAGCAGGATTTCCAGTTATCGGGGAAGGAACTTGATGTCAAACACAGCTTTAGAGTCAGTGCTGCTTTCATCAGAGTCTTCGGTCTGATGATGATGATTATTATTACAGAAGAGCTTTTACCACCAATACCATGAACTGGGTGAGACGTGATGATGTCAAAGATTATTATTGCTCGCTTTCTCTCTGTTCTTCTGGAGTGAAAGTATCACAGTGGTTTCACTTCAAACACACACACACACACACACACACACACTCGTAGATTAGAAGCGTTAATGGTTCAATAGCAGAGCACTTTAGTGAGTTTATTTATTCACCAGACTGATACAAACCAGTCACTCCTAAGTGTGTGTCTTTTTAGATCTAATCATTCAATTCAGATTGCAAAATCACATTAACAACTTATGATTCAAAGTGATTCAAGGCACATGTTTGATTTGGAAGAGGAAATGCTGGTTGGTCAGTTCTGTGTTTCCGAAAGCAGCGTTCGCGTTGCATATTTCACACAGAGCATGTTTTGGACCTTAGTAAGCACATTGCCTCGTATCAGGCTCATTTCTGAATGTGCTAAAGAGGCTGTGTGACTGTGCCAGACCCCGGTGAGGACGGCTCCGGGGCTCACGCTCCCTTTGTTTGTTTACCTTTCCATCTGTTACTTTAATAATGCAGAGCCTTACTCCACACTCGGGCATTATGAGCACACAGCTCATCTCACACTGCCGCTGCCGGTGGTGTGTCTGCCTTCATTTGCAGTCCAGTTGTTGACTCATTTTTAACCCTCTGATGGTCCTCGTCACTTCTGACCGAATCATTTTCTGTTAAAATCA